GACACTGATCGGCGGCCTATAAACGATCACTTAATTTTTTTATTCATTGTTATTTATTTTTTATTATTATTTTGTCTCACGGTCTAGAGGTTATTTTCTAACTCTTCAAAATATTATCGTATATAGTTCAAATTCATTGCCCTTGTTTAATGTTTAATATCTTCGTTTTGGTCTACTCTGCTTTAGTCTTTTTAGTCTGACAACCTTCTGAGAGCGCCCCGGCTAGTAATAGGCTTATTCCTTCTTTCTCAACACCAGGCGCTTCCTTCACTTTCTTCTTTATCGTTGTATATAAAACCGTCAGTCCTGAGTTACCGCCTGTCCTGGCCACTTCGACTGTCCTTGTCCTGGCGCTATTTGTAATTTAGTATGTATAACCAACTAGCCCGCCAGAATATTTTCAGGTTAAGACATTTCCCATCATGAGCATTTCATCCGGAGCGAAGTGGAGAGTAGCAACCAAATGTTGTTGATGGTTGATGGATCTGGTTAAAGCGTGCTTGTATGAAGCATTATGAAATGAGGCGAGCGTTCTGTCTATGCTGGTCGCGCAAGCTTCATTTTGAAAAATACCTTCATCAGTCGTCCCTTGGCTGCTGCTCTCCGCGACGAGAGAGGACGTTGGGGGACGTCACAGTAAAGTTCGAGGAATGAAGTTCAGCGCATGCTCGTCGAATTGTAAAGTTGGCCTTGACGTTAGATTGTCACGATGGAGTAGTTACTGTCAAGAAACGTTTTGCTCCTTGGCAGCTCAAAGTTGAGGAAGGTCATCGGTAACGATGGCGGAATCTGGATCCGCTTTTCCCCTCTCTCAGCAATCCGACAGTTTTTTTTTCTTAATACCACGCCGGTTTAGTTTTTTGAGGATAAATGTGTTTGTCAAAAACTACCGGCGTCTCACAAAAAAGAGTGACGAGAGAGCTGTGCGCACAATATCACGTGCTGTGCGCCCGCCCCGCTTTTTCGCGGCCGTGGTCACTAGCCAGTGCTGTGACGAGGACTTAGCGGTGCATCACAGTATGGGGCTCCACGCCGTAACAACAGAGATCTTAGAGTAGCTCCCCGATAGCGGCTCTCTACTTCAATCCAGCCACGGCGGTAGAAAATGTAATAGCTAAAGAGAGCTACCATAAAGTCGCCACGAACAGCAGCATTTTGACATGTAATGGACGATTTTGTTTATTCACAGTGTATTGGATTTTGGCAAAAATCACTCCAATGGACGTTCAAGAACAACTTTCTAAAGCAATGTGTTCGTGTAAAGGAGACTTTTGCAAACCAGAAATTCTTTCACTCAATATTTCCTCTGGAGCGGACTCCATGGTTGACATGCTGGGCTACTCTTATGAACGAATCACCACATAGCGGCTCAGCATTTGTGAGCGTGAACCCAGCTGTTACCCTCACCAACACTCGGTTCGCGAAAAGCGTGTCGAGCCGAAGCAGCGAGGGCCCTGGTTCTTTTCCTCTCAGAATCGTCGGCTCACCCTCGGCCGTAGTCGTTATGACAAGAATAAAGACGCTAGAAGAAGCTCAAAAATGACGCATGCAGCAAAAAGTAAAGTATGTATCAAATTACGAATCAATACCATATGTATCTAAAATATTTATTATATCTATTAGGAACTAGGTGAAAAGGTCCTTTATACAAGCTACGTGTCAAAAGATAAGTGAGCACAAAGGGGACTTTGAGGGCGCTCAATCTTGTACGTCACCTCAGCTCAATAGAGCGAACATGATCTAGCTTCGTTGCTCGGGGGTGTGTAGTCGCTCGCTTGAACATTGCGCCAGGAACACCACGGATGAAACACACCACGCAATTCCCTCTAGGATCTTTCTGGTTATCCCGAACCAGGGCTGGGCAGTATCGCGATACATATGTATCGCGATAGTATCTTAAAGATACTTTCGAGTATCTGTATCTCTGTATCGAGATACATTTGAAAAATGTATTTGCATTTCAGTAGTGAAATATCTTTAAGATGTATCGCTTGTATCGCGATACTTGGCCAGATACATTTGTTGTCCTTTTTAAGATCAATTTAAAAAAATAAAAACATCTGTTTGGGGCAAGTTACTTCATAATTCATAATATAAACCTGCCCTATAACATAATCTATCTCAATCACCTGCATTTAAAAAAAAATAACTGCGGTTTAAAAGAGGTTACGGGAAAGAATAACAAAATCAGCTCATCACATGACCCGCCACTCTTTCAAATTTTGTAGAGAGAACGCTGTAAAGGAGTTGAGTAAAGAAAAAGTATGGTCCTGTTGTCCTATCTCCGCACCCTATGGGCGACTGAGAAGCTTATAATACGATAGTTTGAGCTGCGCCCTCACGGCAAAACAGGGTTGGTTTCGGGCAGACGCCTTTTGCCAAGCATGGCACGCAGTCTTTACCGTTATGTAACTGTTTTGTTCAACGGGAATGACATTTTTTTCTTTAGAGGCATTCATAATAAGTAGTGTGAGGTAAGGGGAACAGCATAAAATGGCACGAAAAAGGAGCACACGCATAAATTATCATTTGTATTCGCCACGAACTACACCGTCCCCGCCTAGCACCGTTCGGGAACAAATGAATTTCCATAAGATTCTGTATCTGTATATCGGAATACTTTTTCGCCGGTTTTGCAGAAGTATCTCAAGTATATCCCATTGCATAAAAGGCAAATGTATATCAGTATCTCTAATATGAGCCTTAAAACACATGTATCTCAGTATTTGTATTCCGGAATACTTTTTAGGGTATCTCTGCCCAGCCCTGCCCGCAACTACGAAGTTCCAAGCTAACTGGCGCCGTGAACCGTGACGTTGCGGTTCAGCCCTCTCCCAATGAAGCTGGCTGCTTGTAGAGTTATGGTGTTGCAGATTGGAAAGAATTTGAAGCTCACGAGAAACGAAAAGAAAGAAGAAGGTTCGAGGCACGAGCGGAACGAGGCGAACGACAGAAGCCGATCCAGACACTTCTCTGTAATGATGTATATTCGATTGATTTATTAGTGTAAATACAGTTTGTGTTTTGTTTTTACGCTTATTGCCTGATTTAAATACGACGCCCACAAGACCTCGTCAATTCTGACACATTATGGTGCCGAAACTTGGGAACGAGAACGATTGAGGTGAGCGGATTTTCCACTTTTGTGGAACACCTGCCTGGAACACTGTTTCCGAGAGCTGTGTGGCAGATCGTCTAACATGGAACGTCTCAAGGCGAAACGTGGAGTGAAGCGGTCGCAAAACACGAAAATTATCCACGAGGCGACAGCGGGGATGGAGACAGTGGACCTGGCATCGCTGACTGCCTGGCTGGAAAGGCTGAAGGCCAATAACAGGGCTCTTCAAGAGTTGAACGTGGAGATAGAAGATCATATATCGGAACAAGACCTCGTCGCAGAATACACTACGGTCACGGAGTACGACGACGAGGCCATCCGAATGATGGCGCTGTTGGACTGCAAGACAGACTCACTGAGACGTAAAGAACAAGAGGCACAGGCCACCCAGATGACCACATCCGCGACAACATCTGCGACTGTCACTACGGACCAGGGAAGAAATTGCACCAACATAACTAGCGGCGTGAAGCTTCCCAAGTTACGACTTCAAACTTTCAACGGCGAGGTCAGCGAGTGGCAGAGCTTCTGGGAGCATTTCGGTCGTGCTATGCACGAAAACGATAGCATTCCACGATCGGACAAGTTTCAGTACCTGCGCAACCATGTCACCGGACCAGCGGCGGCGGCCATCGCTGGGCTCCAGGCAACTGAGGCCTGCTACGACGATGCCATTGAAATCCTGACACTGCGCTTCGGTGATAAACGAAGGATCGAGCAAAATCATCTGGCGAAGCTCCGAGCACTGCCTCCTGTTGCCTTCGCGAAAGACACGAAAGGCCTCCGAAAGATGTACGATCACGTCCAGACGAACATCCGAGGTCTGAAAGGGCTCGGCGTGGGATCGGCAACGTACTGCACGATGATGTCCGATATCCTCCTCAAGGCCTTGCCGAGCGAAGTCGTCGTAAATTATCACCGGCAGCAAGCAATCAGCACTGCCTACAGGTCGACGGGAGAAACGCAAAACAGTCCGACTTTACTGACTTCACCAGCAGTGCAGGACACCGGACACTCTGTCGACGGACCACTTTCCACCCGGAGCGCTTCAAGGCTGCCCTCTTTCGCCGATGCCGAAGATGAGCTCGCCGATATTCTAAGATTCCTTCGGATCGAAGTTGAGAGTAGGGAGCAAGCCGGAGTAGTAGAAGAACGGCAAGAGACGTAGAAGAAAAGGACTGAAAGACCCAGAATGCCAGCAGCCTCTGTGCTACATGCAAATATCACAAGCCCCTGCTTCTTTTTGCCGGTCCACCAAGCACGCAACAGAAGTATGTACTGGCGACCTCACGTTAGAGGTGAAGAAAAGGAGGCTGGCGGAAGAAAACCGCTGCTTCAGATGCACAATCGGAGGGCACCGGGCGAGGGAGTGTCGCCGGAAGGTGACATGCGCGTCGTGCTCCGGTCGACATGCCACATCCATGTTCGACCCGAACTGGAAACCTAACGTGAAGAAATCGGATAGAGGTGCCCCTGCGACAAGCGTCTAGAACGCAATCTTCGACAGTGCTGACGTCCCATTGGATTCCGAAGTGCTTCTTCAAACGTTCCGAGCCTGGGCTGAGGAAGGAAACCAAAGACTTTACGCGCGAGCCATTATCGATGGAGGTAGCCAACGGACGTTCATTTGTGAGGATCTTTCTCGCAAACTCGGCCTCAAGGTTCTGGGATATGGTAGCCTCCGGCTAAATACGTTCGGCCACTCCACGTCACGACCGCACGTCGGAGACTAGTACAAGTACGGTTGCACAGCCAATACGGCCAAGAAGAGTGCGTCATCGAGGCCGTCGAGGTACCCTTCATCTGTAAGGACGTTGTGCAGGTACCCGTCGACCACGAATTTGTTCGCCGTATGATGAAAAACGGTCGTCGTATTGCGGACATGCTTCTCTCCCCTCTGGCCACTGCTGAAGAGGGCATTTCCCTTCTGGTCGGTTCAGACCAGTTGTGGCGAGTGAACGGTGACCAAGTGCTGCATTGCAAGGAAAATCAGAAGCTGGTAGCTATAAGCACCATTTTTGGCTGGACCTTTCAAGGCCCAGTGTCAAACCACAGCTCTCTCAAAGGCAGCGCCAGCAGCATGGTATGCGTGCTAAGAACGGAATGCTTCACGAACGAGGACGTCGGAGACATCCTGCGGCGTTTTTGGGAGCTAGAGAGCATCGGAATTTCTGACCAGCCCTCCAGCAAGATGGAAGAACAGAACGAACTGCTGAACGAGTTCAACCGAACAATACGGAAAGTGAATGGACGGTACGAAGTCTGTCTACCGTTCAGGGTCGGCGCGGGAGAACTAAAGGATAACCGCACGCTGGCATTGAAACGTCTTGAGAGTTTGAAGAAGAGATTGTCGCGCGACGAGTCCTTCGCAAAAGATTACGACAACGTCATACGCAGCTACATCACCTCAGGACAAGCAAAAAAAGTTTCAACGAGCCCATTTTGCGCCGAGTCGACAAACCCACGGATTTATTATATGCTTCATCAGCCCGTAATTCGGAATGAATCCGAGACCACCAGGGTGAGAGTCGTCTTCGACGCTTCGTCTCATCTCCCAGGAGTTGCTTCACTCAATGAACAACTGGAAAAAGGGCCGAATTTGAACGCCGATCTGGTCGGAATCTTGGTGCGCTTCCGTCTACACCCAATCGCCTTAACAGCGGACATAGAAAAGGCGTTTCTGCAGGTCAGCGTTCGACCTGAAGATCGCGACGTCCTACGCTTCCTGTGGCTTCAGAGAGATTCGTCGTCAGCAAGCTCTGAACGAACCGTTGAAGAGTGGAGGATGACGAGCGTGCCCTTTGGGACATCGGCCAGCCCCTTTCTACTAACCGCCACTCTTGCTCATCATCTGAGCAGCGTCAATGGAGAATTGCGATCGACTGCGGAACTGCTTCAACGGGGATTCTACGTCGACGACCTCCTGATCGGAGCCCCCACTATCGAAGAAGCGGCGCGAATACAGGAACAAGCCAACCAGATTTTAGAAGATGCAGGAATGAGACTCCGAAAGTGGTCTACCAACGCGACAGAACTGCAAAGATCGCTCGATAAAGCTGCATCAACGTCTGCACTCTCTGAGCCGAGAGCTGTACTTGGACTTCTTTGGCGACGTGACGCTGACACGCTGGCCATTCCAGTGGAGAGAATCCTGAACTTCGTCACGTGCAGTGGGACGACGAAGCGCTATGTACTCCGTGCATCAGCTAGGGTTTTCGACCCGTTGGGACTCCTTGCTCCGTTCGTCATACGAATCAAGGTTTTGTTTCCACGAATCTGGGAACAAGGAATCGGTTGGGACGACGACCTAACGGACGATTTACTGGTGCAATGGCGGCGATGGTGCGCAGAACTTTCACAATTAGAAGAGATAGTGATTCCTCGCTGCATCGTGAAGACGCCAAGAGAAGTCATATGTTCTCTCCAGCTACACGTCTTCTGCGACGCAAGTCCGGTGGCCTATGGCACTTGTGCCTACCTGAGGGCTGAAGGAGAAGATGGGAGGGTAGAGGTGAACTTTATATTATCGAAATCACGTGTGGCGCCCATAAAGCGAATAACACTACCTCGACTACCCTACCAAAAAAAACGGTTTAAAATTAAACCGGAATGAATCCGGAATTTTAATCCGTCATATGGGCCCCTAAGCAAACCGGATTTCTAGAAACCGTAAATGAACCGGAAATACCCAGTCCGGAAACCCAACCGTAATTGGTCGAAGCGGAAGCTGAACCGTATCTGGCCAATCCGTAGAGCTTCACCGGAGTGGGTCTAACCGTATATTAAACCGTATACGGCAACACCTGAATATAATAGAAGTAGTTTAATAGAGTGACACACCTACTGTTTCACCTTCCGATGTATTGCAGCTGATGCTACAATCCATCCCTTACAAAAATGTCATATCTAGACTTATAATGAAAATACAGATATGGATATATAAGGAATGGGGCAGATATGACCACATACGCATAATCAGGCCGTATATGGATAGATATAGCCATATCTGCCCAATTCCTTATATACCATATATAGACTGCTTTACATGATCCCGTGTTTGGGCCTGGCAAATAGGGTACCCACCTCATATAACGCAATTTTCATGTGATGCTCCTTCTAGCATCAGATTAAAATTATTGCCATGGGGCAGGTACCATACTTTCAGGTCCAGACATGGGATCATATTATGCATTTCTATGAATATCCACAAAATATACATTGTACTTCTATCCCACACTGCCAAACGTGTGTTTACGTAGATACATCGGCAGAATAGGCCACTGACCAATCTTTAGTGGCCTGGTTCGAAATTTGTAATTCCGACAAATATGTATGCTACAAAAATCAAATGCAGGCGATCGCTAGTTAGCAAACATTGTAACATATCATTCGACGTCTGAAAGTCACAGCCCTTTGGCGGGATTGGTTGTCGAGGGAGCAGACAGATATTGTTTGCAAAAAAAGTTTTATACATAAAAGCGCCAAAATTCCAAACAAGCACTTCCGCCGTTCAAGAACAAAATAATAGTAATATCACACGAACAACCATTAAAATAAACTAAATATGTAATAGCACACAGACTCCTATTAAAATAAAACAAAAGGAAGGCGACAATTAAGCTGTAAACTATACGAAAGTTCCAAAGTCGTTGATCCTTACTCACAGGGTAAAGTTCTGATTGAACACTCCGGTCGAGCACAGCAGTTTTGACATGGGCTTGCTTGCTAGCCTCGTCGTTGAAGTGCTTCCTTGCACCGTGCGATGTTCAAAGTCCCCCGTCGCTCCTCGCTGGCCTTGTTTTTCCGTTCAGTCCCGAAATCATCCCTTGTGACCAACACGCCGCACACACACACACGCACAGACACCATTGTTCGCCGGAAATAATACGTAATGAAAAGTTCATTACTGCTCCTTGAACACGACGAGGTCACCACCGCTTCCCGGACTGAAAAATGACGAGGGCATCATATTTTTAACTAAAACTTAATAAAAGAAAAAAATAAATAAATAATGAACACATAAGTAACAGAAACCCGGACTAAATCATAAGAAAAATATGAAATAACAAACACACAAATAAAAAAAAGAGTAAAAACACAAAGGACTTGCACAGAAAGCCACATTTGTTCAATTAAAAATGACGTTTAAGCCTGATAAAAAAATATTCCTGCTGCGCTAACCATAACCACTATGGTGTGTAAACTATGCGACTTTGAGCAATGCAGGAATATTTGTGATCATAATCAAATGTCATTGCGAACTCAAAACGTGTGGCTGCCTGCCTAGGTCCTTCATATTATTATTTTTCTGAATCCTGTGTTCAGTATTGTGGCTGCTCAGGACCAGGCGGAACTTGGTGGTGCTTTTTCCATTCCGACTTTATTTTGGACAGCTTTGTACCCATAGGGAGAGGCACTAGCTTCTCTACACAATCCCACCCCTTCTCCTTGGAGGTACCCTCCGTGTATGCTGCAATTGGCAGAAAACAAACAATAATCAGCAGATATACACATTATTAGCTACATTGTTTTGTAATAATTTTTCTAAATAGGCCCCTGGCCTAGGGCAACACAAGACCTTTTTTGGGCGATGTAAAGTTTTGACCCAAACAATTTGTTCCGCATTTTGCAGAACATACCCTGTAAAACCTTAAAGTTTGCAGAACATACCCTGTAAAATCTTAAAACCATTACGATTTCGGCATACTTTATCACCATTGTGCTTCCTATGTGCATGACATTTAAAAGCCAAATCCGCAAACACTTCACAATAATTGATGCGTATTAAGCAGTGTGCTTTATGTGGCGCCTTTAAGTGCAAAGCATTCAAAGTGCGCGTCCGTCTGCATTTGCACAGTATACAGAAGAGGGGAGAATGCGGGCGGACTGCTGTTTTCACTCCTTGCAGCATATAGCTCAAGGATTCTCCAATTTTGCTTATACAGGGCATTTCACCGCACAGAACGTACAAACACAAGCTTGGAGATCGCACACGCAGTCTCAAAAAACGATTACATCGCGTTTTTTTTTTGCTTGCACCATAAAACGTTTTGTAATCATAATCATAACATCAATGGGAGTACAAACGATTGCATGAAAGTTCCCAATTGGGTCTGTTTTATACCGCACAGCCACTGTCTATACACAAATCAACTAGCTCTACACATACCGCTCAGCACACCACTGCTAGGCTGAATCAGATAAGTGACACACTTGCCGAGCTTGAAGTACAGTCGTGATCTATACAAAGGTGAACAAGCAATCGTCGACTGCTCAGTACTGGGAGCATCATCCAGCAGCTGACTTGCTCTCCTTTTCAAATGCCTTACGAACCAAGTGTGGTAAGTCGTCGGATAAGGAGAGAACGTCACCACACACGGAACTGAGCCGTTGATACTCGCCTGTTTACCTTCATATGGATCAAGTCTCTGTCTGGCCGAAGTAGCCAGTGTGTGTGCAGCACAAACGGCTGTATTGAAATCTCAAAAGGATGAAAGTTCAGAACAGGCTTGGTAAGGTTTCACATTGCAAATTTCCATGCCCATGCAAATTTCACTTTCTAGAACATAAAAATGCATTTCAAATTGTCACCCAAGACAAGCTGCTCTTACACAGCTGTATATATAAGGCAGCTTACCCATCAACAGCTTTTGCACACTGCCATGGACTGAACCTCGGCTTGGTCGATGCTAGCTTCTCTTCGGCGAGGGCTGCACTGAGTAGAAAGGTGAAAAATGACCCGTGGATTATGTGAAACAAACAAAAGTAATTCTAGCATGCACAATTCGCTAGAGGCACTGACAAATAAAAATCAGAGGTTAGGTCAATTATGTTAACGCAATATACTTCAAACGCGTACCATGAGTGCTGGCAAAATATTTGCTGCCTTCAATCTAGATAAGCTTGTAAATGTACATGCCAAATAACAAATAACTTAAAAGCTGAAATATATTTCGATGGAACTACAAAAACCGAAGACTAGCTCTGCAAATATAATGCTGTATAGTACACCCTAGATGTGTAGAATCGGACTACAGCGTCCCCCTTACAAAGACTGAAGCAAAACAAGTATAGATTCTGCAGTGTCACTACAACAGAAACGATGGTATTGTGATCTCGTGGAGATAAAAGTTCGGAACAAGTGTGACAGGCTTTGGCATGACAAATATGCCAATGGCATTATTCATTTTTGTATATTCTACGGTGACAGTGCAGGGAAACAATCACACAACAGATACTCAGAAAGACAAGCA